TGGCATGCAGGCAGAAGACTGTATACATAATAAATAAATAAAATCTAAATACAAAAAAAAAAAAAAGAAGAAAGTAGAGTCTGGGATTGCCAGTTGCCAGTCTCTTAAAAAAAAAAAAAAATCAAACCAAATATAAAAACTGTCTGTCTTATGTTTGCTTGCAGCAGCTCTCCTGCCTCAGTCTCTCACCCCTGAAAATGTAGGCCTGCTCCAAGTTCACCTTTATGCACTCCTGAACTCAACTATGAAGTTAATCTCTAGCTGAAGTGCTATTCAACCAGAGACACTGAAAACAAGAGCCTTGACTTAGCAGTCACATGTCACTTCCAAGCTAGCGTTGCTGTGGGATAACCCTTCTGTACACTGTGAATATGTATTCCTCTCATTGGCTAATAAAGAAGCTGCTTTGGCCTATAGCAAAGCATAATAAGGCCAGGCTAGAAAGCTAAATGGAGATAGAGAGAGAAAGAAGGGTAGAGTAGAGAGAGATGCGAGCCAGTCACCAGAGGAACAAGACATGCCAGAGGACAGTAAAGCCACAAAGCCACGTGGCAAAATGTAGATTAATAGAAATGGGTTAATTTAAGTTGTAAGAGCTAGTTAGTAATAAGCCTGAGCAATAGGCAAAACATTCTGTAATTAATATGTTTCTGTGTGTGTATTTGAAACTGGGTGGTCAGGACAAAAGCAAAGTTCCACCTCCATTTACACAGCACCACTTCAACAGACATCAGCACAACAGCCAGGTTCACTAGGGCTGGGTTGACAGTTGGTGTGGCTGGCTCTGGGCTGAATTGGGACTAATGGGGAGCCTCACCACCAGCTATGCCAGGAGGCCTTTTCTGAAGCAGCAGCTCTTCCCCTTTATAATTCTTGGTGTTGCCCACTCATAGGCCTGGGGACTCTTCTGCCTAAGGTGGCTTTCTCACCCTCTTCACCATGTGAAGCAGCTGCCTCAACCTCCAACCTGACATAGCTCCTTCTCTCATGTCTCCTCTACCTTGTATGTCCCTTTTCTGTACTGTCCCAGGAAGTCTGGGAAAGTGATTGGCACAGGGTTTAACAGAGAGAAAGAAGATAAATACTGTATTAAGACAAAAAAGGCACACGCCTTTAATCCCAGCACTTGGAAGGCAGAGGCAGACGGATCTCTGTGAGTTCAAGACCAGTTTGGTCTACAAGAGTTAGTTCCAGGACAGGCTCCAAAGCCACAGAGAAACCCTGCCTCAAAAAACCCTTCCCCCCCAAAAAAAAAAAAAAAAAAAAAAAAAAAGACTATTTGAATAGAAGTTAGGCATGTTAGTAAAAGCCAGAAGGAAATACACTTTTCTTCTAAATTTCTTGTCCTCAGAATTGTGGTGTAATGCATCCTGCTTCCTCTGCATGGAGGGTCACGGGCAGTGGGGAGAGTGGTCAGACAAGTCCAGGCTTGGGAACCGAGGGTTCCTACTCACCGTTCTGCCATCTCTTCACCCTACAGATGTGGAGGTATTGAAGCCAAGCCTTCAAAGATCTCTGCTTCTGCCAGCGCTGATGGTGTTGCACAGCAATGACCATCTTCCATCTTTCCTGCCGGCTATGTAGGAGCTGTTCTTGCCATTGTGACCAAGCCTGAAAAGACCAGGTCAGGAATTCAATGTCATTCTCAGCCACACAGTGAGTTTGAAGCCAGCTTGGGCTATGTGAGATCCTGCCTAAAACAAAACAAACTTGGGGGGGGGGGTTACAAATAAAAAACAAACAAATAAAAAGAAGTTGTAAAAAGTAACTTGCAGCTGGGTGGTGATGGTACACACCTTAAATCCCAGTACTGGAAGGCAGGAGCAGGTGGATCTCTTGAGTTTGCTGCCAGCCTGGTCTACAGAGTGAGTTCCATGACAGCCAGGACTACACAGAGAAACCCTGTCTGTGTGGAGGGTAATTTTCAAGTACATGACAGAGTTCAGGATAAAGCTCTTGAGCTCAGCTGCACTGGTGAATGTACTGAGAAAAGACATGTGATTGCTCCTAAATATGCAAGGAATGAGGCCTCAATAACAAGCTGGGGAAACTTTAGAGGAAGATGAATCAGATACAGAGAGTACTGATGTTAGCAGCTGCTCTGTTTTAAATTTCTATGACAGCTCCATGCAAACACAGATAATTAAAATCCTGCCCTGAAAAAGGAATAATGGAGGGAGATAGCTCAATGATTGTTACTCTTACAGAAGACCCAGGTTCAGTTCCCAGTACCCACAGAGGGACTCAAAACCATCTGTAACTCCAGCTCCAGGGGATATGACACCTTCCCTGTCCTCTGAAGTGCCAGACACATACATGGTATATAGACATACACACAAACACAAAATTTACACACACACACACACACACACACACACACACACACACACACACACACGGGAGGGAGGGGAGGAGGGGAGGAGGAAGGGAGGGAGGAAGGGAGGGAGGGAGGCAGGGAGGACAAATATGCATAAGGAAATAAATCTTTTTAAAAAAGCAATCAAGGGTTTTCTGCAGGTTGCACCAGGTAACTCTGCCTGCCTCTGCTCCCTGCTCCCTGCTCTAGCCAAACTGACCAAACTCCAGTCAAAGGTCCCCCTTACTGTGACTACACACCATCTTCTCTTACATTCTCAAGTCTATCACTGGAAATCTGCCCTCTCCTATACATACTTCAGCTTTCACTTTATACTAGGTTGAGAAACTAATGGATAAATGTACTGTTTTTCTTCCATACTACTTTTTGTTTGGTTGTTTTGTTTTTAAAGGCAGGATTTCTCTGTGTAACTCTAGCTGTCCTAGAACTCGATCTGAGATCAAGGTGACCTCAAGCTCAGAGATCTGCCTTCCTCTGCCTCCCAAATGATAGAATTAAAGGCATTCACTACCTGGCTTTTTTTTCTTCTTCTAAATTTTCCTTTAAATGTGCTTAACAGGCTGGGCAGTAGTAGTGCATGCCTTTAATCCCAGCACTTGAGAGGTAGAGGCAGGCAGATCTCTGTGTGTTCAAGGCCAGCTTGGACTACAGAGCAAGTTCCAGGACAACCAGGGCTGCTACACAGAGAAACCCTGTCTCGAAGAAGAAAAAAAAAAAAAAAAAAAAAAACCTGTCACAAAAAAAAAAAAAAAAAAAAAAAAAAAAAAAAAAAAAAAGCCCTTACCAGGCTGGAGAGATGCCTCAGAGCACTGACTGCTCTTTCAATTCCCAGCACCCACATGGTGGCTCATAACCAACCATCCATAATGGGATCTGATTTCTTCTTCTAGTGTGTTTGAAGACGTGTGTGTGTGTGTGTGTGTGTGTGTGTGTGTGTGCGTGTGTGAACTGTGTGTTATATATTGTCATCAATATGAAAGGCACTGGAAATAATGACATTGTGGCTATATAAAAGAGCCATCTCGGGCTGGAGAGATGGCTCAGAGGTTAAGAGCACTGGCTGCTCTTCCAGAGGACCTGAGTTCAATTCCCAGCAACCACCTGGCAGCTCACAACCATCTACAATGAGACCTGGGGCCCTCTTCTGGAATGCAGGGGGACATGCAGGCACAACAATGTATACATAATAAATAATTAAACAATTCTTAAAAAAAAAAAATCCCCCTTTTAAAAGTTACAATGGAAGTATATCGAAGTGTATTGAGAGCAAACATTACATCCATGATTTTCAAGTGACTCAGAGCAACTAAGCACAAGCCAGGTCCAGTGCACACAGGAGGCAGAAGCAAGAGGCCCAGGAGGGGATATGAGACACTGTCTAAAAGCAGAAATCATCAAGAGAGAACAATATTTATTCTTAAACTGAGTGTGGGAGGTCCTGCTCATTATCTCAGGACTTGGAAGGCTGAAGCTGGTGGATCAGAAGTTTGTGCAGCTTTGGAGCCTATGCTGGTACTGGCTCTGTAGACCAGGCTGGCCTGGAACTCAGAGATCCGCCTGCCTCTGCCTCCCAAGTGCTGGGACTAAAGGCATGCGCCACCAACACCCAGCTCAGCATGGGCTTCTTAATAGCACCCTAAATTTAAGTGGGAAATGGTGTACACCTTTAATCCCAGCACTTGGGAGGCAGGGGCAGGTGGATCTCTGTGAGTTCAAGGTCAACCTAACCAACAGAGCTAGTTCCAGGACAGCCAGAGCTACAGAGAGAAACCCTGTCTCAAAAATACAAAAATAAATAACCAACCATGGATTTTTATTATTTTTTTAATTTTATTGTTTTTAATTATATATGTGACATGTGTGTCTCTTGTGTGGGTATGTACATATGTGTGCAGGTGTCTGAAAGCCAAAGGAATTGGATCCCCTGGAGTTGGAGTTACAGATGGTTGTGAGCCACCTGATATGGGTGCTGGGAATTGAACTCTGGTTCAAGCCCCCTCCTTCTTTTTCCTGAATATTTAAAAGGGAATAAATTATATTTGTACAGTTGTTAAAACATGAAGAAGGCAGGAGGATCAGGGCATACTGGGTTCGTGCCTTTAATCCCAGCATTCAGGAGGCAGAATTGGGTGGATTTCTGTGAGTTAGAGGCCAGCCTGGTCTATGTAGTGAGTTCCAGGATAGCCAGGGCTACATAGTGAGGCCCTGTCTCAAGCAAAAATAAGCTGGACAATGTTTGTGCATGCCTTTAATCCTAGCACTGGGGAGGCAGAGACAAGAGGATCTCTGTGAATTCTAGGCCAGCCTCCAAAGCTACACAGAAACCCTGTTTCAAAAAAAAAAAGAAAAAAATCATGAAGAATGGGTTAAACAGTGTGAAGTGTATATATTACCCACCTTTTTTTCTGTGACTCAGGATTTGCAGACACAACCCCTAAAGCAAAGGTTCTCCCTTTAGCACACTATACCACACAGCTGACACTAGCTCATTCCTTCCCAAGCTCCTCAAGACAGCCACTGAAACTTCTCCCTAGCAGGCTTTCTTAAAAGCATTCCATGTGCTCACCAAAACTGTTTATCAAGTCTATCACCATTTCCACATGGTTCAGCCCAAAGGTCAGGTCTGTCCTCACCCTGCCTGACCCAGCAGAATGGCACCTGATGTGGCAGACAGCACTTTCTCTGCTGGGTTCCTGCAGGTCCTCCCTGTTCCTGCTGTGACTTCACAGGGACTCTCCTGACAACCCACTCACTCACTTCACCATTCATTTATTACTCAGCTTCAAATACCATCTTCCTACAAGGACTCCCAATGGTAGGGTCCCGCCTGGACCCTTCCTCAGGATTGCAGATGCTACAGAAGCCATCTGCACTTCTCTATAGAGACTCGGAGTATCAGGCTCAGCATTCCGAGAGAAGAACATAGCTCCCCCCAATCCTTCCCCACAGGCTGCTTCTCCTTCAGAGGTCCCATGTCAGTAAAGGGCAACCCCATTGTTGCAGGGGCTCAGCCAAAGTCAGGAGCTGCAACAGAATTCCTTTCTGAATCACATTTAATCTCTCCATAAGAAAATCCTATTAGTCCTTTTTTTTTTTTTTTTTTTTTTTTGGTTTTTCAAAACAGGGTTTCTCTGTCCTGGAACTAGCTCTTGTAGACCAGGCTGGTCTCCAACTCACAGAGACCCTTGCGCCTCTTACTCCCGAGTGCTGGGATTAAAGGCATGCCACCAACACCAAGTCTGGCAGTCACATTCAAAACAATCAGAATCTCAGTCTGGGGAGATGGCTCAGTGGCTGAGAGAGCTGCCTGCTCTTTCAGAGGACTCAGGTTTGATTCCCAGGACCTACATGGCAGCTCACAACCATCTGTAACTCTAATTCCAGGTGATTCAATACCCTCTTCTGCCCTCCATGGGCACCAGGCACACACATGGTACACATACATACACACATACATACACACACACATACATACATACATACATACATACATACATACATAATGAAAAAACCTTACATATGTAAAATAAAATAAATCATGAACACATATAAACACACACTCCAACTACCATCTTGCCAAAATCTCACTTAGATATTTCTTTCTTCTTCATCATTTTTTGTTTGTTTTTGTTTTTTGAGACAGGATTTCTCTGTGCAGCCCTGGCTGTCCTACAACTCGCTCTGTAGACTAGGCTGGCCTCAAACTCACAGAGATCCACCTGCCTCTGCCTCTTCAGTGCTGGGACTTATGTGTATGTGTGTGTGTCTGTGTGAAGGTATATGCATCTGAATCCAGATACCTGAGGAGGCCAGAAGGTATCAGATCTCCTGGAGCTGGAGTTATAGATAATTGTGATTTGCCTAATGTAGGTTTGTGGGTTCTAGGAACCAAACTCAGGTCCTCTGTAAGAGAGTATGTGCTCTAACCATTAAATCATCCTTTCAGTTTGCAAGACAATTGATTCCACTGTGTGTGTGCCAAGTGTGTGCAGGTAACCTCAGAGGCCATGTGTGTGTTATTAACATGTATTCACCCACAGACTGGTGAGTTTAAGTTAGTAAGCATGGTTCTAGCACTTGGAAGGTGGAGGCAAGAGGATTGGAAGATTAAGATCATTCTCCACTACATAGCAAGTTCAAGGCAAGCCTAGACAACATGAGACCCTGATTCAAAAACCAAAAACCAAACACCCTATGAAGATAAAGCAGAAGAGTTTTCTTTGCAGTCTTGGTTTCTACCTGCATCATTTTCTCATTTGCTATAGAAAAATAATGAGGTAATAAGAACATATTTTAAACAGTTTCTAATCATGTTAGTTAGAAATCTCGTGGAGAGCAGGTGCATATTCCAAACAGCAGCACCCATCTGCCACAGCCTGGCCTTCTGCATTGCTCTCCCACCCCATCTCCCCAGATGCCCAGCTGCACTCCCAACAAGCAGCAGCAGTGAAAAGCCTTCCTGTTGATTATATAGTCCTAGGACACCAAAACCTGAATATGTACTAGACAAACCTGCAGCTGGAGGCTCAGGGCCCTGTGCTTCACAGCCGCTGCGTGAAGAGCATGGTCTGCATGGGCTTGTCCTAGTCGCCACATCCACTTGCTCCACCAGAAACTGAAAGAGGAAATCAAAGATGGAATCAGTTGGGGTTGCAGGGACATAAAAGAAGAAACTAGGGCTGTGCTTCTGAACTGTAACCCAAGTCTCTCTCCTTCATAGTGCCATCTCTAAACTGACATCTGCTAGACCCACTGCAGAAAGAAATACAAAATCAAGAGTGGTCTAAGGGCTGAAGAGATGGCTTGTCAAGTACTGTACTTGCCACCAAGTCTGAGTTCGGTCCCTGGGACCCCCATGGTGGAAGGAGAAAACTCACTCCCACAAGTTGTCTCTGGCCTCCACATGCATCATCATCTCTCACACACTACATAAAATATGATTTTAAAAAGTTTAAGGGGGACTGGAGAGATGGATCAGGGGTTAAGAGCACTGATTGTTCTTCCAGAGGTTCTGAGTTCAATTCCCAGCAATCACATGGTGGCTCACAACCATCTGTAATGTGATCTGGTGCCCTCTTCTGGCACACACTGTATACATGATAAATAAATAAATAAATCTTAAAAAAAAAAAAAAGTTTAAGGAACATAAACTAATGTCAGACCCAGTCTTAAGCACTATAAATTATCATCCAATCATTTATTCGTTTGCAGTACTGGCAATGAACTCAGGGACATGTGCATGCCAGGAAAGCTCTCTACTCTTCAGCACTTCAGACACGCTCAGGTGCTCTGGCCTACACAATTTAGTTTTCAAACATGGAAGTTACCCACATTTAAAAGTCAGCTTCATGAGAAAATCTGAAGGGAAAAAAAGTGGCTTTCAGGTTTCTAATCTTGCAGGATGTCTCCTTCCTTCCCTCCTATTGCAGCCACATCTTCATCTTAGCCGGAATCTCTTTTCTATTTTCTTTCCTTTCTTCTTCCTCTCTCTTCCTTTTTTTAAGGTTGTTCAGGACAGGGTTTCTCTGTGGAGTCCTGGCTGTCCTTGAACTTGCTCTGTAGACCAGACTGGTCTGGAACTCACAGAGATCCACCTGCTCTGCCTCCTGAGTGCTGGGTTTAAAGGTGTACACCACCAAGTTAGGCTACCTAATCATTTTTTAAGGCTGAGGAGATGGCTCCGATGGTGAAGTGCTTGCTGTGCAATCATGAAAACCTGAGTTTGTATCCCAGCACCCACATAAAAACCCAGGCTCAGTGACAACATCTGTAATCTCCATGCTACAGAGTCAAAATGGTTCCCTAGAGGCTCAGTGGTTGGCCAGCCAACCTAGCTGAACTGGCAAGTTCCAGGTTCACTGAGAGATCCTGTCTTAAAAAGTAAGGTAGAACCCAGCATGGTGATGAACTTGGGAGGCAGAGGCAGAAGGATTTTTATGAATTTGAGGCCAGTCAGGCCTACATATTAAGACCCTATCTCAAAAAAAAAAAAAAAGAAGAAGAATAAGAAGAAGAAGAGAAGAAGAGAGAATATGATTTTAAAAAGTTTAAGGGGGACTGGAGAGATGGATCAGGGGTTAAGAGCACTGATTGTTCTTCCAGAGGTTCTGAGTTCAATTCCCAGCAATCACATGGTGGCTCACAACCATCTGTAATGTGATCTGGTGCCCTCTTCTGGCACACACTGTATACATGATAAATAAATAAATAAATCTTAAAAAAAAAAAAAAGTTTAAGGAACATAAACTAATGTCAGACCCAGTCTTAAGCACTATAAATTATCATCCAATCATTTATTCGTTTGCAGTACTGGCAATGAACTCAGGGACATGTGCATGCCAGGAAAGCTCTCTACTCTTCAGCACTTCAGACACGCTCAGGTGCTCTGGCCTACACAATTTAGTTTTCAAACATGGAAGTTACCCACATTTAAAAGTCAGCTTCATGAGAAAATCTGAAGGGAAAAAAAGTGGCTTTCAGGTTTCTAATCTTGCAGGATGTCTCCTTCCTTCCCTCCTATTGCAGCCACATCTTCATCTTAGCCGGAATCTCTTTTCTATTTTCTTTCCTTTCTTCTTCCTCTCTCTTCCTTTTTTTAAGGTTGTTCAGGACAGGGTTTCTCTGTGGAGTCCTGGCTGTCCTTGAACTTGCTCTGTAGACCAGACTGGTCTGGAACTCACAGAGATCCACCTGCTCTGCCTCCTGAGTGCTGGGTTTAAAGGTGTACACCACCAAGTTAGGCTACCTAATCATTTTTTAAGGCTGAGGAGATGGCTCCGATGGTGAAGTGCTTGCTGTGCAATCATGAAAACCTGAGTTTGTATCCCAGCACCCACATAAAAACCCAGGCTCAGTGACAACATCTGTAATCTCCATGCTACAGAGTCAAAATGGTTCCCTAGAGGCTCAGTGGTTGGCCAGCCAACCTAGCTGAACTGGCAAGTTCCAGGTTCACTGAGAGATCCTGTCTTAAAAAGTAAGGTAGAACCCAGCATGGTGATGAACTTGGGAGGCAGAGGCAGAAGGATTTTTATGAATTTGAGGCCAGTCAGGCCTACATATTAAGACCCTATCTCAAAAAAAAAAAAAAAAGAAGAAGAAGAAGAAGAAGAAGAGAAGAAGAGAGAAGAAAGAAGAAGAAAAGAAGAGAAAGAAAAAAAAAGGAAAAGAAAAGAAAATGAAAAAAAGGCGGTGGTGGCACACGCCTTTAATCCCAGCACTCAGGAGGCAGAAGCAGGTGGATCTCTGAGTTCAAGGCCAACCTGCAAGTTCCAGGACAGCCAGGCCTACACAGAGGAACCCTGTCTGGGAAAAAAACAAATGACAATAAAAAAAGGTAGAAAGTGAGGGAGAAACCAAGCTTTTTACACATGTACAACCACACTTTCGCCCCTATGCACATATATTGTATATACACAGACACATTAAATAAATAAAAGTTCTTTCTGTCCACAGATGTCCTGGGCAATGCTAACTACTTCACAGACATTATTTGATCTATTCTCAGTAACAACCTAGAAAGATAACTAACGGTAAGCCTATTTCACAGAAGAGAAAAAGGAAACATGGCGAGGTGAAATGACCCAATGAAACATGTTGGGACAGGGATTCAGATCCATGTCAGTATGTCTGTTGTCCCGCGCGCTCTGTATTTCTCGGCCGGCAAGAAATCATACACGGGACACTCGGATCCTTCTGCAGACAAGCTTTAATGCATCTTGAGAGTGAAAGAGCATAAGCTTCCCAGAGCGGAGACACTAAACCAAGAAAACCATCCCTTATAAAGGCTGACCAGCCGCCTGGGACGTGTTACCCTATGAATGGCTTCAGCTCCTCAGGCCAAAATGAGCCACGGGATAGGCAGAGATCAAAGGAATGGAGATTACCCAGCGCCTGTGAAGTAATTTACATCTTGGTGTCTTCAGGCACCATTATAATGCAGGAAACGGCCCCTTACAGTCTGTAAAGCTATCAGGCTGTACTCCATGCTCATCTCTCCTGAGCTTTAACATTCAGAACCCAGAGAACCCCGAGGGGCAAAGCAGATTTGTTATACATGCCAAGGGATCCAAAGTAGACTTTGTCCTGTATGTGCAGTGTTGGTGAGATGCAATGCAGAGCAGTGGCTGCAGCAAAGAGTGGGCTCTTGGTTTTTTTCAATGGTAATTTACAAGAATTCAGACAAGTCCTCTGACTTTCCTGAACCTTACTGTACATTATGATGTATGTACAAGGATTAAATGAAATACTTTACAACACATACATGGCCCCACCTAGTGGTGCAGACCTGTAACCCCAACTATTTGGCTAAGTCACGAGGGTCAAAGGCCTAGAACTAGCTTGGGCTAGAGAGAATTGAAGGCCAGACTGCTCAAAATAAAAGCAAATGGTGTGACTCAGTGGTGGAGTATTTGTCAACCATGTGACAGACCTTAAGCCCACTCCCTTGTGCCACCCTGTCCTAGTTAGAATTTCTATTGCTGTGATGAAACACCATGACAAGCAACTTGGGGAAGAAAGGGTTTATTTGGCTTACACTTCCATATCACTATTCATCATTGAAGGAAGTCAGAACAGAAACTCAAACAGGGCAGGAACCTGGAGGCAGGAGCTGATGCAGAGGCCATGGAGGAGTGCTGCTTACTGGCTTGCTCAGCCTGCTTTTTTTTTTTTTTCTTTTTCTTTTTCTTTTCTTTCTTTTCTTTCTTTCTTTCTTTTTTTTTTTGTTTTTTGTTTTTTGTTTTTGTTTTTCAAGACAGGGTTTCTCTGTGTAACTTTGGAGCCTGTCCTGGAACTCACTCTGTAGACCAGGCTGGCCTCAAACTCACAGAGATCCACCTTCCTCTGCCTCCTGAGTGCTGGGATTAAAGGCATGCGCCACCACTGTCCAGCTCAGCCTGCTTTTCTATAGAACCCAGGACCACCAGCCCAGGGATGGCACCACCCACCATGGACTGGGCCCACATCAAACACTAAGTACCTGCCTGCAGCCCAATCTTATGGAGGCATTTTCTAACTGAGATTTCCTCCTTTCAGATAACTCTAACTTGTATCAAACTGACATAAAACTAGCCAGTTCATAACCCTACCACCAAAATTCTATATATAAAGTTAACATAGGCTGAGGACTCTGTAAGTACTTAATTAAAATTAATTATGGTTATATGAATATTCAATATTATAGCTGGATGTTATCAAAGGATATTTATAGGTGTCAACTGTGTGAGATGGGCAAATTAAAGCATCATCCCAACACTGAGGTAAAAGGATGACTGCTGACCCCACACACTCACCATAAGACACTCCGTCGCCTAAATTCTAGAGCAGTGTTCTGCATTTGACGTTTGGTCCTACAAGCAACAACGTATATCAACCAGGACTTCCAGGCTTGGCGCATCTTCTGCTTTGTATCTAAAGACATCAAAGAGAGATCTTTTTAAAGGGTAGAAACTGGGCTGTAGAGATGGCTCAGCAGTTAATAGTATCTACTGTTCTTTCATGACTACAGTTCAGTTCCTAGCATCCACACTGGGCAGCTCACAATTTCCTGTGATTCCAGCTCCAGGATGGATTGCAGGGGATCTGACACCTTTCTTCTGGCCTCTGCACATTCCTATACACTGACATACGTACATAAACATAATTAAAAATAAAGCCAGAAAAAAATAAAAAGGACCCTGTCTCAAAACAAAACAAACAAAAAAACTGGGTAGAGAGCTGGAGAGATGGCTCAGAGGTTAAGAGCACTGGCTGGTGTTCCAAAGGTCCTGAGTTCAATTCCCAGCAACCATATGGTGGCTCACAACCATCTGTAATGAGATCTGGTGTCCTCTTCTGTCATAAAGAGACACATGCAGGCAGAATACTGTATACATACTAAGTTTAAAAAAAAAAAACTGGGACGCTGGGCTTTTGGTGGAGCATGCCTTTAATTCTAGCACTTAGGAGGCAGAGGCAGGCAGATCTCTGTGAGTTCAAGACCAGCCTGGTCTACAAGAGAGGGCCAATGAGATGACCCAGTGATTAAGGATACTTGCTGCCAGACCAGGGTGACCTGAGTTCACTCACACAAAAGGAGGAAAGAACTGCCTCCTGAAGGCTATCTTCCTACCTCACATGAGCACCATTGTATACAGGAGCCCCACATATTTAAACAAACAAATGAATGTCAGAAAATGTAAAGGGTGGAGAGGGATATATTATTTCAGGTTGTGATACCAGCTCAAGGACTTCCTGTACTTAGCTTGAAATGCCCATAGCTCTTCTCCAGCCTTCATGTGCCCTCTTCTGGACACACTGTGTAGTGTTACAAATTAAAAAGGATTAGAGACTGTGGTGCCAGTTACAAGCATTTAAAGGAAAAATAAGTGTGTCAGGCAGGCACACTGCTAACTGTGCTTCACCTGAGCCCTTCCACCTTTGGGGTTTTTTGTATTGTATTATTTTGTTTTGAGGCATGGTTTCTCTGTGTAAATAGGCCTAACTGTCCTAGAACTCACTCCGTGGGTAGATCAGGCTGGCCTCAAACTCACAGAGTTCTGCCTGTCCCTGCCTCCCCGGTGCTGGGATTAAAGGTATACACCACCACTACCCCAAAACCTTTTGGTTTTTTTTGAGACCAGGTCTCTATATTACCTGCCTGATTTGGAACTTCCTTTGTAGACTAAGCTACCCTCAAACTCACAGAAATCCACTTGCCTCAAGTGCTGGAATTAGAGATGCACACTACCATATCTGGCCTTATTGTTTAAGACAAGAGTTTCTCAGTGAACTGGGAACTCACCAATTAAACTAGACTAGCTTGGCCAGAGAGCCACAGGAACCCTCCTGCCTCCATTTCCCAGGGCTGGTTTGGAGGCATGACTGGCTTTTTATGTGGTTTCTAAAGAATCAAGCTCAGGTCCTCATGCTTGCTTTGCAAACCACATTACTGACATCCATTTTCCCAACCCTAGAAACATGGTGGTGGCGCACGTCTTTAATCCCTGCACTCGGGAGGCAGAGGCAGACAGATCTCTGTGACACACATGTAGGGCAAAACATTCAAACACATAAAAAGTAAATAAGTAAATCTAACCACCACCACCACCCCTTTTTTTGTTTTTAAGGAACCTCAACAGACACAAAAAAGATACAAATATGATGGCTAATATCAAAACAAAATAATAAAATCTTGGATGTCAATTTAACTACATCTGGAATTAACTAAAACCCAAATAGCTGGGCACACCTGTGAAGAATTTTTCTTCACTGGATCATTTGAGGTGAGAAGAACCATACTAAATCAAGTCATACCTTCTGGTGGCAACCCACATAAAAGGACATGGAAAAAGGAAGCTTTTGCTGTTTTTCTGCTTGCCCTCATCAACCCTGTTACCCTGAGATACTCCTTTGCTGGAGTATCTACATTTTCAGGATTCCAACACAGACTGAAGACCAGCAGCTCTCTAGGACTTCCCTGGGACTCTAGCACCAGATTGGAACAGTTAAGACATCCAGTCTTGTGAACCAGATCCTTGGCCTTTCCATCAGGACGCAGCCATTGCTGGCCTACTTGTACCACAGCCTGTAAGCCACTCTCACAAATCCCCTTTTAATGTATATAATAATATATGTTATTAATTGACAGAATTGATTATGTATTAACATAATATATAATATACATATGTATATATACACAAATTAGTTTTGTTCCTTCACAGAACCCTAACTAATACAATGGCATATATATACATATGTGTGCACATGTGGTGTGTATATGCATTAATAGTGAGAACAGGAATAGATACTCAATATCATTAATTTTTAGAAAAATGCAAAAACTAGAATGAAATATCTGAACTATCTATATAGATAATTCAGATAACTGTTTGTAGAGTTAAATTATTATTATTATTATTTTGTAGGAGGTTTTTTGTTTTCTTTTTTTTGAGGCACAGTCTCCCTGTGTAGCCCTGGCTGGCCTGAACTCACTATGTAGATCAGATTACTCTCTGAATTCAGAGAGATCCGCCTGCCTCTGGAGTGCTGGTATTAAAGGCATGTGTGCTCAACTTGTTTGTTTTTTTGAAACAGGAGCAGACTGTGCGTCCGAGGCCAGTCATCTGCGTGCTCCCTAACCTCTCCAGTGCTGTGATTACAGGCACGCACCAGCACAGCTGCCCCATTCTAAAATAGCAATTTGTATTTTTCATATAAAATGACTCTGCATTTGCCAAAAGCATAGAATTGTACACCAAAAAGAATAATTCCTACTTTATGAGAATTAGAAATAACAACAAAAACAAACCATTAGCTACTTACAGGTTAAATATAGAAACAATCTGTCTCATACTGAACTAAGAACCCAACATCCTGGGGAAAGAAGAGAAAGCTAGACAGGGAAGGTAACATTCGTCACTTATTTAGTTTTTTTTTTGTTTGTTTGTTTGTGGTTTTTTGAGACAGAGTTTCTCTGTATTGCTTTTGAGCTTGTCCTGGAACTCACTCTGTAGACCAGGATCCGCCTGCCTCTGCCTCCCAAGTGCTGGGACTAAAGGCATGTGCCACCAACGCCAGGCTGATTTAGTTATTTTTGAGCTCGTTGTGCTATTTGAACTTTCTATGTAGTCCCAGTTAGTCGGGAATTTTCTATTTTCTTTCCTCCACCTCTTGAGTACTGAGGTTACAGGCATGTATCAACACACCTGGCTTGGGAAGGTAACACTTCAAATGCACCTGAACCAAAACTGGAGAGATAGCTCCACAGTTAAGAGCACTTGTTGCTCTTCCAGAGGACTCAGGTTCAAATCCCAGGTTACAACTAAATGAAAGTCCAGTTTCAGTGGACCTTATACTCTCTTCTGGCTGCTGCATGGACACAGCACACAGACACGTAGAAAAATAAATTAACCAATGAATGAAAATGGGTCTGAATTTTTTTGATCTCAAGGAAAGGTAAGAAGTGCATATTCAGTGTGGTCAGAGGCTGGGGGCAGGGAGAGAACAGGTGAAACCCTGAATGTCACACCAAGGCTTCGAGTTCATTAAGAGAGGCCATTAAGAGTGAACTTGCAGAGTAGCAACCACTCCTTCAGCTATGTATACAAGGAAAACAGAGTAAATACACAGAGGTGATGAAGTACCAACATTGGAGGAAGGTGAGAGTTACTGTCAGGAAGCAGTAATGGGTGCTTCCTTTAGAGGGCTCTCATAACACCAGATAAATACTGCTGAAGCATGAAGAATGGAACCAACCTTAGCAAGGCCTGTCACCTAGACAGGGAAAGGAGGAAGTACAGGTCCACACCATGGGGGACCAGTTGTTCTGTGCTCAGTGTAAGCACACCAGCAGACCAGGTATAGTCAAATGAGCTTCAACTGCCCAAACTATGCCATATGGAGACTGACATAGGATTTGACCAGGCAGGGGGTTCACCTAGATCACACTCCCAGAACAAGAAAGGAGTCAAGGGCATGTTCTCTCTCACCAGATGACTCCCTCTCTCACCATGATGCTTAGCTCTGTGGAGCCTCCTCTTCATCTCCTGTTGCTGGTGCACAAAGGTCTTCCAGCTCTGGAACATCAGGTTGTACAAGTAGTATCTGAGGAGCCAAAATACAAATGGTGTTATGGTAAGACAATAAAGAAACCCCACCCAGCATACCCAGTCACTTTTACACTTAGGAGCGTTCTATCAACCTGTAGTTGATAGAGAACTGATCAGCAGATGTTAGGGCTGTTTGGAATGAGGGTGCTACCTAGGTTTAGCACAGGGAAATTCTATGGGAAGTAATAGGCTGTTTGACCCTTGATAGCAGAGCCATCTAAAAATAATAATTGGGGCTAGAGCCTGGCTCTGCGTTTAAGAACGCTGGTTGCTTTTCCAGAGGACCTGGTTAGGTTCCCAGGACCAACATGGCAGCTGACAGCCACCGGTAACTGAAGTCCCAGGGACGAACACCCTCTTCCCTCTTCCGGCTTCTGCAGGCATTTCAAGTACATAGTGTACAGACATACATGCAAGCAAAGCCCCCATACACATAAAATAACAAAATGCCACCGTCCCTGATCTCTACAGCACAATGAGTTCTCTTCCCCATTGTGTTCCAGAGTGTAAGTTTTGAGACACTTAAAACAAAACAATTTTGCTACTCTGTTTATTGTGTGGAGGGGTATATGGTTCACAGCAAGTGTGGAGGTCAGAGGTCACAATGTGCAGGCTCTCCTATGTGGGGTTAGGGAGCCAACTCCGTTTACCAGGTAGCAGCAAGTGTCTTTACCTGGTTAAGTTATAGCACCTATCCCTACAAATGGGCATTCGGTGTCATTTTTAACTTTTTCCTCTATTTAGTCCTTGCAATGTGAGTGGCAAGGATTAAAAGATTCTTCTTTCATCCTTATCCTGTTTTTTTAAGTTGTGTTTTGGTGCTAGGGATGAAGCCCATGACCTTGTACAGGCAAACCATTTGCTCTCCCACTCAGATACCTGACCCAGCCTCTCTATTTTCCAAATGTCCTATGTGGGACACAACCTGTCTTGATCATATCAGCATTCTAGGACTAATTTTTTTGTTTGTTTGTTTTTTCAAGACAGGGTTTCTCTGTGTAGTCTTAGCTGTCCTAGAACTAGCTCTAGACAGTAGACCAGGCTGGCCTCGAACTTAGAGATCTACATCTACTCCAGGGTGCTGGGATTAAAGGCATATGCCACAACTGCCTGGTTTAGGATTAATTATTCAAAAAATAAAAAAATAAAAACCACCTACCTCTCAGTTTTAGAAAAACATGGAAGTGAGTAACCATACAAGTTTCCACATGGCCAACAAAGCTATCTGACTCAGAGGAGCACACGTGTGTGCATGGACGTGGACCTAACTGCAAATAAGTATGGATTTACTGATTTGCAATCCAAAAATTTGCTTCTTTGGAACAGAAACAAGGCTTTGAGTAATTGATACAGTGCAAAGTCTATATTTCAACAAGTATAAAGCAATGAGACACCTGTAGTGACAGTCAGCTCGCATGCAGAGTTTCCACTCCCTCTGGGAGACCCACCATTCTTCCCTCCATTCTCCAAAGACTTTCTGTAGTATTCTCTGCTCATGGAAAAACCTAGGCAGAAGCAAGAACATCAGAAAGTTGGTGTGAGGCAGTTGGGCTGATGTCTCTGCCAGGTCAACTTCACACTGCCCTTACCTTCTCAGTTAAAGCACTAAAGTGTAGAAAGCCGCACACTGTGTCTGATCACAAGTTCAGTGTGACATATACTAGGAACAAGACAATTACACCAAGGATTTCAACAGTTATGGATACTAAGGGAAAGTTGAAATCTTCACACTCTATGAGGGAATCAAAACTACAATTCTGAGGAGTAAGTGAGATGATGCAGTAGATAAAGCCACAGTAGCTGAAGCAGAGAAGCCCAAGGACTTGCTTGCTCTCTGGACCATGAAAAGGCAGAGAGAACTGACTCCACAAAGTGGCTTTCTGACATCCACACATGTGTCATGGTATGTGCACACACACACACACACATCAAACACTAACACAATCATAATTTAAAACTATTACAATTGTCAGCATTTTTTAATTGTTTTAGATTAAATAAGAAACTTTTGCCGAGCTGTACAACTTTCATCCCAGCCCTCGCAGAGGCAGGCAGATCTCTGTGAGTTCCAGGGCCTGCTTGGTTTCAAAGAGAATTCCAGGACAGCCTCCAAACCTACAGAGAAACCCTGTCCCTTGTTCCTGTGTGTAAGGAAAGGTGCTGCAGTGTAGATTCCAGAGACTGAACTCAAGTAAGCAATTTTGTTTTGTTTGGTTTTTGAGACAGGGCTCCATGTAGCCCTGGCTGTCCTGAGTCTCACTATGTAGACCAGGCTGGCCTCAAACTCAGAGAGATCCTCCTTCCTCTGCCTCCTGAGAGCTGGGATTAAAGGAGTGAGTTTCTGCTTCTTGTGCCTTTTCTTGGTCTCTTTTCTTTCTGTTTGTTTTGTACAATTCTGATGTGTTTGTTTTATCTTACTATATTTTATAATAAAACAACAAAATCCCAGGCTGCAGAGATGGCTCACAGGTTAAGAGCACTGACTGCTCTACCAGAGGTCCTGAGTTCAATTCCCAGCAACCACTTGGTGGTTCACAACCATCTGTTATGGGATCTGGTACCTTCTTCTGCTTGTAGGCATACATGGAGGCAGAACACTGTATACATAATAAATAAATGAATCTTTAAAAAAAATTCCCTTAGAAACCTGTTTGTTAGCCTTGATGGCACACGCCTGTAATTCCAGCACTTGGGAAGCAGAAGCAGGTGGATCACTGAGTTCCCGGAACAGCCTGGGCTACACAGAGAAACCCTGTCTCAAAAAAGCAATTTAAAAAAAACAAAAGAAAAGGGCTGGAGAGATGGCTCAATGGTTAAGAGCACTGGTTGTTCTGCCAGAGGTCCTGAGTTCAATTCCCAGCAACCACATGGTGGCTCACAACCATCCGTTATGAGATCTGATGCTCTCTTCTGGTGGACATGCAGATAAAGCACTCATATACATAAAAAATAAATAAATAAATTTTAAAAAAAGAAAGAAAAGAAAAGAAAAAGCCTGTTTGTTTTCTACTGAGAGACAGAAATGAAATGGATCCAGGTGGAAGAAAGTAGAGGAGGAACTGGGAAGAGTAGAGGGAGAAGAAACCATAATTATGATATATTATGTCAGCCTAGTCTACATAGTGAGCTTCAGGCCAGCTAGAAATACAAAGTGAGACCCTACACACACACACACACACACACACACACACACACACACACACCAAACCACACAACCACCCCCCCCCCACCCCACCACACACCCACCGACACACACACACACCCACACACACAAACACATAGAGAGATGATGATGACAATGTTGATGAGGAAAGGGGAAAAGAGATGGAATTATATTTTAATTGAAAATATTTTAAATAAAAAGTAACAGAAACAGAAGAAGCCCAGCAGCAGCTCAGGGCTCTGAGTTAACAATACCTGGCTCTAGAGGGAGTTACTCTTCCAAATGTCATTCGAATCCACAAATACAAGAACTTTCTGGCCACACATCTGAAAGAAGAGAAGGACACATACATTTGAAAACTCTACCTGTATAACAGGAGTTTTCTGGAAAAGAGAGGGAACCTTTAAGATGTCAAATGGAGGGTCCACAGTCTGAATCAAAAGATGATGTCATAACTAATCTTGCATCAAACAGAAAATGGAGAGGACGGTTTATAAAACTAAAATCAGGCCAGGGGGTGGTGGTGGCGCATGCCTTTAGGCCCAGCACTCAGGAGGCAGAGGCAGGAGGATCTCTATGAATTCAAGACCAGCCTGGTCAACAACAGCTAGTTCCAGGATAGCCTCCAAAGCCATGGAGAAACCCTGTCTCGAAAAAACAAAAAACAAAAAACAAAAAACAAAACAAAACAAAAAAAACTTAAATCAACTGAACTGGGTGGTGGTGACATAAGTCTTTAATCCCAGTACTCAGGAAATAGAGGCAGGCAAATATCTTTGAGTTTGAGGCCAGCCTGGTCTACAGAGTGAGTTCTAGAACAGCCAGGGCTATACAGAGAAACTCTGTCTCAAAAAACAAAATAAAACATAAAACTACTATAAAGCAGATTGTTGTTAAAAATATTCTTTTTGATTTCAAGGTTTTGCTTTATATGTAGCTCAGGCTGGACTGGAACTCCCAGAAATCCACCTACTCTGCCTCTTGAGTGGTAGGATTAAAAGCATGTGCCACCATACCACTCAAGGTCTTATTTTTTAATTTTATAAGTCCAGTAAACAAAATGTATGAATAAGGAAAGTTTCTTTCAGCTTCTACAGTGGAATCATCTCCCACTGTGTGAGGGCAGGTGTGTGTGTGTGTGTGTGTGTGTGTGTGTGTGTGTGTGTGTGTGTGTGTGTTAACCAGGGACTCTTTAAGTTTAAGCAGGTATTCTACCACTAACTTACAAACCCAGCCACTTTATAATTATTTCTTTAAAGACAAGTATTGCTGTAATAAAACTCAGAAGCTGTAAGTTTCAAAGGTTGCAGAAAGTTGAGTCCTACACAGTTTAACTTGCACCAAGATTAGCTGAAGGACTTTTTCCTCTACCCAACTGTGGGAGCTTAGAACCAGCAATAGCAGAATTCATCATGAAAGTATATAAACATTTTTTTAATTCCATAAAATTGTTTTCTTTTTAATCTGTGGACAAAGAAAAGACTCCCATTGGAGCACATGCCCTGTTTTCCTTTATCATTATTTTAGGAAACTTAGAAGGATAATGTTTTTTTGACCGATGCCACTTATAGCCCAGACTGCCCTAGATCTGCCATCTTCTTGGTTTATCCTGCCATATGGCTGGGATCACAGGCCTGTACCACCATATCTGACTCACTTTAAACAAACAAGACAACACAAAACTCCTTTTTTTTTTTTTTTTTTTTTTTCAAGCCAGGGTTTCTCTGTGGTTTTGGAGGCTGTCCTGGAACTAGCTCTTGTAAACCAGGCTGCTCTCAAGCTCACAGAGATCCACCTGCCTCTGCCTCCCAAGTGCTGGGACTAAAGGTGTGAGCTACTACCACCCAGCTACAAAACCTTTCAATACAAGTATTTTGACAGTGAAGAGATGGAGACATCAGATATGAGGGAAACCATTCTTTTCTCATTTTTCTTCCTGTTTAAATCCCTGGCAAAGATTCATGTATCCTGGTCTTTTCCAAACACCAAGAGAGGGGTGGGACACTCAATGTTCTCTACTCAAACCCCAGTGCAAGGCTGTGCCACTGTAACAGTCATCAGCTCACTGGATGTCTGCCATTCCCTTGTGACTGTGCTGAAAGCAGGAACCGTCCTTGGAGTCCCAGTCCCTAGCACAGTGTGTGGTATAAATGCTTGAGTGTACGTGTACACACACACACACACACACACACACACACACACACACACACACACAAAGCCACTCACTCATTCTTCTTGTCAAGCTCTGGGCTCAGTTTGAAAACCTCTTCTTCCTACCTTTTGTCTGACTTAGTCTTACAAGATCCTTTAGGGCTGAGCTAACTGTATGTTACAACTGGAGACCATAAATGAAAACTGTCTGTAGTTCTAAATATTCTTCTTCTTCTTTTCTTTTAAAGACAAAGTCTCCTGCTATGTAACCCTGGTTGGGCTGAAGCTCTCAATATAGACCACGTTAATCTCAAACTCATAGAAATCTATCTGCCTCTGTTTCCTGAGTGCTTGGATTAAAGACAAGCACCATCAAACCTAGCCCTAAATATTCTTTTTATCTGAATATTCCACTCAGAAGAGTTCTCCAACTAACTGGCATAGAAATAATAATTATTCTTCCTTCAATTTGGGCAAGAAAGAAAAGCAAATGAAACGTCTCACCTGCTTCGCAATTCTCTTAATCGGCGTCTAGCCCAATTGTGTGAGGCCTGAGAGGAGGAATGACAGCTTCGAGGTAACTCCCTCTGGACCCCAGAGAAGGCAGACTTGTTGAGAGGCAGTGCCTTAGGGGAACAAGGTTTCTTAACCACACCATCCCTAAAAGACCTTAAATTTGAGCAGAGAGAAAAAAAAATCTCTTCATACAATATACATACATTTAAACACTCAACCAAGCTCTGCTGTTAAACTCATGGGGACTGATGCTGACTATGCCAGCAACCAGCACTGCTGGGTCAGCACTAAGTGGAAACTGCAGAGCAACAGGTGGGATCATTAGATCTAGCATATTCGTTAATTAGTTTTTATTATAATTTAAAGAGAATCATTTACAACCTAGAAACAAATTCCTAAGTACAAACTAAAATAGAGGGCCTGGAATTCTGGCTCAGAGATGAACTTCACAAAGTCCCAGGTTCTATCTCTAGTGCATCAAAAGAAACTACGATAATAATAAAATCTTAGGGAGGAGCCTAGAGAAATGGTTCGGCAATTAGGGGCACTGCTGTTCTTCTAGAGGACCTGGGTTAGATTCCCAGCATCCACAAGGCAGTTCACACCTGTCTGTTAATTCCAGTTCCAGGGGATCTGACACTTCTGCCCTCCAACAGCACCAGGCATGCACTGGTGCACAAATATACAAGCAGACAAAACACCCAGACACATAAAATAAAATTTTGGCAGGGTGGTGGTGGAACACACCTTTAATCCCTGCACTCAGTAGACAGAGGCAGACAGATCTCTGAGTTCAAGGCCAGCCTAGTCTACATTGTAAGTTCTAGGACAGCTAGGGCTACACAGAGAAACCTTGTCTCAAAAAAAAAAAAAAAAATCAAATAGATAAATAAATAATAACATAATAAAAGTTTAAAAAATTTTAGGGAACTGGAGTGATGGCTCGCTCAATGGTAAAATGAGCTTTCTGATCTCATGAGGACCAGAGTTCAGGTCCCAGCACCCATATCCAGTGGCTCACATACCCCTGTAACTCTAATTCCAAGGGATCCAATACCTTCTGACCTCTGCAGGCACTGAGAGCATGCGCACACTGGTGTGTGTGTGTGTGTGTGTGTGTGTGTGTGTGTGTGTGTGTGTGTGTGTGTTAGCAGAGTAAAATACTCAAAGAAAATAAAAATTTTAATTTTAGCTACTTAAACAAGAAAATAATCAGAAAATCTTTTTATTGTTTTTTGAGACAAGGTTTCTTGTGGCCCAGACTGGCCTTGAACTTCTGATGTCCCTGCTTCTACCTCCTAAGTGCTGGGATGACAAACAGACACCACCACACCTGGCTCAAAGTTGTTTAAAAAAGCAATTAAAAATGTTTCAGATAACATGACTCTGACATCAACATGAAACATCATACTTTTACTTACTTATTTATTGCCTGCCTGACAGTCCTGGCTGTCCTGGAACTCACTCTGTAGACCAGGCTGGCCTCGAATTCAGAGATCTGTCTGCCTCTGCTTCCCTTCCCAAGTGCTGGGATTAAAGGTGTTCACCACCACCACCACCAGCAGCAGCTGCTGAAATGTCATACTTTTTACCAAACATTATATTTCAACATGAGCCAGGTGCGGTGGCTTATGTTCATGATTGCTGTGGTTGAATGGTAACTTTAGCTGTCATTTTTGCTGTTCCATCACATACCTGGAGACAGTTTTCTTCTCCATTCTCTGCTGAACCCTTTTGATGGAAAGTCAACCACTGGTTGGTATGATTCTCTGTGATCAGATAATTGAGAACCAAAGTCTTCTATCTTCCTCTTATAACTGCAAGAAAGAGATAAAAGAGAGTAAGTTGCTTGCAAACTCCCAGAGGTTACACTTCTAAATACCTGCCTTCCCACTCTGAGTTCCCTGCCCCTCTACTTCTTCATTCTACTAACTTAGCATAGAAAGTCTCTTACCATCCTTAGGGTTGTTAGTGCTGTGATGAAACACCATGACCAAAGCAACTTGAGGAAGAAATGGTTTAGTTGGCTTACACTTCCTTATCATAGTTCATCATTGAAGGAAGTCAGGACAGGAATTCAAACAGGGCAGGAACATGGAGACATGAGCTGATGCAAAGGCCATGGAGGGGTGCTGGTTACTGGCTGGCTCATAATTGCTTGCTCAGCCCAATTTTTTTTTTAAAGATTTGTCTATTTATTATGTATACAACATTCTGCTTCCATGTATATCTGCACACCAGAAGAGGACACCAGATCTCATTCTGGATGGTTGTGATCCACCATGTGGTTGCTGGGGATTGAACTCAGGACCTCTGGAAGAGCAGTCAGTGCTCTTAACCTCTGAGCCATCTCTCCAGCCCTTTTTTTGGTTTTTCAAGACAGGGTTTCTCTGTGGCTTTGGAGGCTGTCCTGGAACTAGCTCAAGAGCAGGTCTTGAACTCACAGCTGCTCAGCTCACTTTCTATAGAACCCAGGATCACCTTGACAGGGATAGCACTACACACAATGGGCTAGGCCTCCCTAATCAGAAACTAATTATGAAAATGTCCTATAGCTAGGCAGTGGTGGTACATGCCTTTAATCCCAGCACTTAGGAAGAAGAGGCAAGTGGATTTCTATGAGTTTGAGGCCAGGCTGGTCTACATAGTTCCAAGGCAGCCAGGGATGTTACACAGAGAAACCCTGTCTCAAAAATAAAAAGAAAGGGGGGTGAGGGGAGGGAGAGGGAGAGGAGACTTACATGTGAAACAAGCCTGTTCCCTAACTTGAATTAATAATAAAAAAGGGGGGGAAAGAAAAAAAAGGGAAAAGAAAAAAATAAAAAGAAAGGAAGGAAGGAAGGGAAAGAAGGAAGGAAGTAAAGAAAGAAAAAAAGAAAGAGGAAGAAAGAAAGAACGAAATTAAATGTCATATAGATGGATCTTATTAAGGCATTTTCTCAATTGAGGTTCCCTCTCAGGTTAACATTAGCTTGTATCAGCTGACATAAATATAGCCAAGACACTTATTCTTTCTAATTTATATTATTAAAAAGTTACTTCTAGGGCTGGAGAGATGGCTCAGAGGTTAAGAGCACTCACTGACTACTCTTCCAGAGGTCCTGAGTTCAATTCCCAGCAACTACATGGTGGCTCACAACCATCTGTAATGTAGTCAGGGATACATGATTCTTTTTAAAAAAAAAAAAAAAAAAAAAAGTTACTTCTAGGGGCTGAAGAGCACTGGCTGATCTTCCAGAGGTCCTGAGTTAAAGTTCCAGCAACCACATGGTGGCTCTCAACCATATATAGTGGGTTCTGATGCCCTCTTCTGGCATAAAGGTGTACATGCAGATAGAGCATGAGCACACATAAAAAATCTTAAAAAAAAGTAAAGTTACTTCTGAGTCAGATTGTGGCGGCACATGCCTTTAATCCTAGCACTCGGGAGGCAAAGACAGGCAGATCTCTGTGAGTTCAAGGCCAGCCTGGTCTACAGAGCAAGTTCCAGGACAGGCTCCAAAGCTACACAGAGAACCCCTATCACAAAAAGAAAAATTAAAAAAGAAAGGAAGGAAGGAAGGAAGGAAGAAAGGAAAGTTGTCCTCTACACTTGATATTCTTACAGAGAACCTGGGTTTGGTTCTTACCACCCACATGGTAGCTAACACCTGTAATTCCTGTTTTCAGGGGATTTGATATCCTATTCTGCCTTCTGAGAGCACCAGGAACACATGTAGTGCAGTCATACAAACATACAGGCAAAATGCTCCTACACACGAAAAAAGAAAATAAATCTTGCTGGGCGTTGGTGGCCCACGCCTTTAATCCCAGCACTCGGGAGCCAGAGGCAGGTGGATCTCTGTGAGTTCAAGGCCAGCCTGGTCTCCAGAGTGAGTGCCAGGATAGGCTCCAAAGCTACACAGAGAAACCCTGTCTCAAAAAACCAAAAAAAAAAAAAAAGCCCTCTAACCTTCACATAAATACACAGATAGATAGACAGACAGACAGACAGACAGACAGACACACACACACACACAAATAATGAAACAAAAACCTACCACCACATAAAAAAAAAAAAATAAAAAAAAAAACCTACCACCACAAGTATTTGCAATTCGTTTTTGGTAGCGGTTAAATGCATAAATACATGTTTGATAGTGAATGCATCAAATCCAACAAAGCTCCACAGCTTCCTTTCCAAATGGCTGGCTACTCTAAATGTTTAGAAGTGAACTGTCTTTGAAGCTGGCTACTTTTGGTGTAATGTTTTCTAAATTCCTTTCTTGACAGTAAAGTTCTATTGTTGTTATTGTTACTGTTTTTTAAAACAGGGTCTCACTATGTGGTCCTGACTGGCATGGAACTGACTATGTAGACCAGGCTGGCCTCAAACCACATAGATGCAGCTGCTTCTGCCTCCTGACTGCTTGAAACAGCATGAGTCATCACACCTGGCCATAATACAATTAAAAAAAAAAAAAAGCAGCCGGAAGTGGTGGCACATGCCTTTAGTCCCAGCACTCAGGAGACAGAGGCAGGCAGATCTCTGTGAGTTCGAGGTCAGCCTGGTCTTCAAAGAAAGTCCCAGGACAGTCTCCAAACCTACAGAGAAACCCTGTCTCGAAAAAAACAAACAAACAAACAAAAAAAAAAGAATAAGAAGAAGCAAGATATAACAGGCTCATTCTTCCAGCCCCAACAATGTTCTAGTATCTTTAATTTCCCTTGATATCTGTCATTAGCAGTCAAGAGAACTTAGTGTTCCCCCAAATTAATTTTTCTTTTTTTTTAACTTTTTCTTTTATGTCTATAAGTGTTCTGCATGTATCCCTGCAGGCCAGAGGAGGGCATCAGATCCTATTATAGATGGTTGTGAGCCACCATGTGGTTGCTGGGAATTGAAATCAGACCCTCTGGAGGAGCAGCCAGTGCTCTTAACCTCTGAGCCATCTCTCCAGCCCCAGATTAATTTTTCAGTTATCAATGTTACTATAAGAATCTTCATGCAGTTTTAAACTTTTTTTTAATTTTTAAAAATTACATTTATTGTTGGAGACATGGCTCAGTAGTTAAGAACACTAGCTAGTCTTCCAGGGGTCCTGAGTTCAGTTCCCAGCAACCACTTGATGGCTCACAACCATTTGTAATTAGATGTAGTGCCCTCATCTGGCCTGCAGGTATACATACAGGCAAAACACTGTATATATGATAAATAAATAAACCTTTTTTAAAAATTACATTTATTTGTTTGTTTGTGTCTAGAGGCTAGGGGACACCAAGGATTTCTGGCAATTCCAAAAGCTAAGAGAAAATTATAGAAGAGATCTTCCCTAACCATCAGAGAGAGGATGACCCTTAACTTCATATTTCTGATCTCCAGAGTTGTGAGGGAATAAACGTATTATTGTTTGAAGCTACCAACTTGTCGGCAGATGGTTACAAAGCCACAGGAAACAATCACAAGCAATGAGACCAAGAGGTAAGACAATAATACACAATGTAGCTAAGCTAATGGGTGAATGTGACTTGCACTGAGTGACTGTGATTTGCAAAACTCCAGAAACATAAAGTCATCATCACGATTAAGACCATAATGAAAACAAGTAACAAGTGAACTATAAAAGATATTATTCATGCTGGGCGTTGGTGGCGCACGCCTTTAATCCCAGCACTCGGAAGCAGAGGCAGGTGGATCTCTGTGAGTTCGAGACCAGCCTGGTCTACAAGAGCAAGTGCCAGGATAGGCTCCAAAGCCGCAGAGAAACCCTGTCTCGAAAAACCAAAAAAAAAAAAGAGATATTATTCATGCCAGGCAAACTGTTTACTGATATCAAATCTACATTTAGGGCTGGAGATGGTTTTTATAGTGCTATCCTTTCATGAAAAGAATTCTAGATTTAATCATCAGCAGTGAAAAACAGAGCATGGTACCACATACCTGTAACCCCAGAGACAGGAGCAGCTCTTCAGGCTTTCCTCTTTTCTTAACATTTATTTACAAAAACAAAAATAAAAAACAAAAAACAAAAACAAACAGAAAAACGGGTGGTGATGGCACTTGGCTTTTATCCCAGCACTCATAGAAACCCTGTCTCTAAAAACAAAAGATTTATTTATTCTGTGTATATTAGTGGAAGAGGGTGTCAGATCCCCTGGAACTGGAGTTACAGGCAATTGTGAGCCACCGTGTGCATGCTGAGAACTGAACCTGAGTCCTCTACTAGAAAAATAAGTGCTCTTAAGTGTTGGGCCCTCTCTCCAGCCCCCAAATCACTGAAAGTTTGAGGCCAATCAGTCTATGTAGCAAAACCCTGTCTCAAAACAAATAAGATGTCCGGAACCTCACAGGTGAAATTTAAAAGTACTGGAAAGGCTAGGAGATAGGTTTATTCTCCACAGGGACATGAATTTGTTTCTAAGTTGAAATACACATAATAATTACAAAGACAGCCCAAGATAAAACAAGATTGCTAGATATTGGCTCACAGTTGCACATGCAGACTGACCTCATGAGATGGTAACAAAGGACAAACTGATCCTGAAATTCCACTACTAGTCATACACCAAAGAAAACTGAAATCATGTCCATACACAAGCTTATACAAAAATGTTCAGGGTCAAGCATGTTGACACACATCCCCATTATTAGCACTTGGGAGGCAGAGGCAGGAAGATCTCTGAATTCAAGACCAGCTTATGATTGATTCTAAGACAGCCAGGACTACATAGTGAGACCCTGTATCAGAAAAAAATTAAAAATTAAAAAAATAAAAATGCAATACTACTACATGCTTAAATACAGATAAGTCTTAACATCATACAGGGGGCTGGAGAGATGGCTCAGTGGTTAAGATCACTGACTGCTCTTCCAGAGGTCCTGCCTTCAATTCCCAGCAACCACATGGTGGCCCACAACCATCTATGAGATCTGGTCCCCTCTTCTGGCATTCAGCAAACTGGTAGTAGCCCTGGGGCAAACTATTTCCCACAGTTAACCAATTTCACATATATTTTTCTTTTGTTTTGTTTCAAGACATGGTTTCTCTGTGTAGCCCGTGTGTAGCTCTGGCTGTCCTGGAACTTGCTCGGTAGACCAGTCTGGTCTCGAACTCACAGAGATCCACCTGCCTCTGCCTCCCGAGTTCTGGGACTAATAGAGTGCACAACCACCACGCTGCGGTATTTTTAAAATTTTTAACTTAATCATTTTTATGTGTATGTATGTTTTGTCTGTGTACCACATATGTGTAGTGCCTAAGGCACACGGGCTACAATTAAGATGACATTTATAGCTAAGGTTCTATACTTTCTCTCAGCACTTTCATTGAACGACCAACTTTAACACAGCCACCTCATCAGGTATTTGTTGTCATTTTCCAGGGGGATGCTCAAGGTCATCGGCTAACAGGTGGCACGGGTGCCAGTGGCATTCAAGCCTCTATACACCTTCGGGAACTATACCAGAAGAGAATCCGTGGTACAAATGCAACGCGGGTTCAGCTCTCGACTTGGTCACTTGAGATCAGTGTACAAAAAGAGTCCGTCACCCAGGCACACCCCTGAATCCAATCTGGATCTAGGTAAGCCAATAAACTTTGTGCAGGCGGAAGATCACCCAGAAGAGCTCTCCACCAGGGGAGGAAGATGCACAGGCCCTGGAAAAGCAGCACGAGGGCAGCCAGGGCAAGGAGGGCACATTCCAAACAACCCCACGCACGCTCTGCTCGCTTTTCCACGCACAGACCAAAGCCTTGTGGATAGGCACCATTTCCTACACTTCTACAGGAGAAAGAGCCGTCACAGCGCCCAGCTCCCCCGCGCTCTGCTGGCTTTAAAGCAGGAGGACCAGCCATTCAAAGGCTGGGGGTGCTAGGCATGGCCTCGTACCTGACGGAGCCGACTCCTCAGAGGACGCCGGGAAGAGGTTGCAGCGAAGGCCAGCGGCCAGGGCTTTCCCCCCCAGCCCCGGCGCCCCCGCCCCACCGTCTCCACGGCGACGAGGCCCTGGCCGGAAGCTGCTCTGTGGAGTTTTGCGCGCGCTACCTCCTGGGCAACAGAGGCCTCTGGTTTCTCTCTGAGCTCTGCTTCCCACCATTCTCTTGGCCGGAAGTATGGGCGCTTCTTGGTTACTGGTCTCCAGTAACGCCTGCACGGAATGGCGAGGCACCGACAGGTGTCTGGCATGGGCGTGGTGGTGCACGTCGGTAATCTCCTCATCAGATCCGGCAATTGGTGGTGTATCTTTGAAGAGAAAAGACTAAGAGATTTCATATTAAAAACAAGGGAAACTATTTGGTGGGTGTGTGAAGATTAGAACCAAGGGGTGGGAGACATGGCTCAGCGGTTAGGAGCACTTTTTGCTCATCCAGATGCCCAGCACTCTCGGTGGCTTATAAAAAGGCGCTTTTTCTGCTGAGCCGTGGTGGTGCACGTCTTTAATTCTACCCGGGAGGCGAGTTCGAGGCCAGCCTGGTCTCCAGGGCAAGTGCCAGCACAGAGAAACCCTGTCTCGAAAAATATAAATAAATAAATAAATAAATAAATAAATAAATAAATAGAAGGCGTGCTCTCTTTTGACCCACATGCAGGCAAAACACTCATACTGAAATATTTTTAAAAGATTAAACTCACATAATACGGGGTTGTTTTTTTTTTTTTTTGCCCTTTTTACAAATGGTGATTTTTGTAGTTCAAAATATTTTAAAATCATTTATTGATGGCAACCCTCTGTGAGAGGCTGAGCCAGGAGGAATGCACGCCTTTAATCCCAGCACTCGGCAGGCAGAGGCAGGTGGATCTCTCTGAGTTCGAGGCCAGCCTGGTCTCCA